ACGAGAGATTCAATTGAGTCTCCCGTGGAAAACCAAATTGATTTGCAAATGAGTGTATTTCTCAAAGACAATACAGAGGTGTTTAAATTCCACTTTCTCCTCGGAAATTTACAAACGAAGATCACAATTACCCTCTATGGGTTTAAGTACCGCGCGATGTTGGAACCTTTTGCCTTTTCGAGTACCTAGCTTCGATAACTTGTTTATTTTTTCGCTTTTTTTTAATTTATTCTAGCGTATTATGCTTGACACATGGTGTCGTGAGCTTCCTTTTAACCTGTGGAAATCACAGGAAATGAGCTACTGTCACCAGACATATACTCTAGGGATCAGTGGTTAGCCATTGCGTGCTCCTTAGTTCGTTTTCCTTATGAATGTCTTGCTATTTGAATGCTCAAATAAGTGAATTCCCGTATGCTTTCTGATCTCTGTGAGTGTACGCGGCCAACAAATCTTGGCGAGCTCCTTGCATTCTGAATTCTCTTCTTTTTTGAAAAAAGAACGAATAGAGATAACGCACTGTGTTCGTTTTCTAGCTGAGTGTGGGTAATTCAAACTCACAACCCATCATTCGTAAGAGTTAGGAAGCTAAGCTAACCAAAAAGACCACTGAGCTAAACTTTAACACGGATCTAGTAGGCCGATCGGAAGAGGTCTTGCTGACTTGTTCTCTGTCTGCCTGAAGAAGCCTTTGTGTTAAAAGCGAAAAGCTTCGCAGTTCTAAAACTACTTATTTTGTACCAAGACCTTCTCATCTGCATACCAATTTGGTTTTGACGGGAGATTAACTCGGAACGCATCTGTATCTCTCAGCTATGATGCTTTTAAGCAATCTAATGTGCTGCACCATGCCGACATTTGAGAAATCACGATACATTGCGTAGACTCATTGAAGACATCATAACTGAGAGATTCAGCTGAGTTCTGTGTGAGTTTCCCCTCAAACCCGAATTCATTTGGGGATGAATGTACTAGTCAAATTTCGTGCAATTTGGGTTCAAACATAGGCTTGAAGGAAACTCGAGGACTGGACCCAAAACAGAAGGGCGAAACCGGTCGTGGGATCTCGAAGAGTTTTCAGCAATCCTATGGGTAGTGTATTGCGTCTTTACAAAAGCTTAGTTTGAAAACCAGTGTGGGTGTATAATTTTG